AAAAAATTTCTTGAGGTCTATTATACAGAATATCACTAAGACAAATATCGTTGGATAGCCGATATAGCCCTCTGCCTAATTTGTTCTACTTCTTCTATGGCTTGGGCATCTTGAGCATCGGTTCCAGGGATGACTTTCAAGGACTTGGTCATATCAGCGATATTCTTGATAGCCGATTTCAGCCTCGCCTTCTGTTCTTCGATAGCTTACGGGAGATCGGCTAACTTCTTGTGCTCCATATCCAGCTCGGCGTTGCATTCTTGAAGTTGTGCCATGAGATCAATCTTACGAGCTTCAAGCCGATCAATATTTGACTTGATCGGGCCCTCAGACGGCTGATCAAGCTTGGACTTCTCTTCGTGCATAAGCTGCCGATTGTGCTGGATTGTAGCTTCGATGTTTTTGCGTTCCCGGCGATCGGCTAATCTCTACTTGGCCTTCTCCAGCTTGAATTGGTGTTGCTCAAGGTAAACGGCTGGAGTAAGGGCATCGGTTAGTTCATCCGGGAGTAGAGCTTGGATATCTGTGAACCTGGCCTGGATCGAGCCACAGTTGGTCACTAAGTTGTCTAATGATGCTTCTAGCCGATGAGAGATATCCTCGAGCATTCTCTTCACATCATCAGACAGAGGAGCTACAGCTTTACTGGTGGTGTCTTCCTCTATTTCATCGAGATAATCCTTGATGTCGAAAGAAAACATATCGGCTAAGACCTGCAAGAGATAATATTATGGATGGTTAAGGATCAAAACATGATTGGCTGATCTCAGATTTGTATCAACAAAAACTTACTGGAATAACAGGAGCAGCTGGTTGTTCTTCCTCTTCGACGTTATGACTGTCTGCAACCGATGGAGTACGGTTGCTTGATTCTCGCTGCACAAGAGGTGAAGGAGGAGGAGGAGGCTATAAAAAGATAAATGTTAGACATAATTCCGGCCGAGATTAGTTAATGAGAAGACTTAGAATATCTTACTGGTGGAGCCGGTTTGAGAGTTGGTGCTGCCGATTTCTTCCTCACGGCAGTTTTCTTCTTCTGTGATTATACATCTATGAGTAATCGGCTGAAAGGTAAAGTAGTTACAGAGGAAATCGAAGAGAGATGCTTACTCTCGAAAAATGAGCTGGGGCAGAAGGAGTTGGAGGAGTCTGCTTGGGTGAAGCCGATGGTGTTCTCTCTGTATCGCTCATTTCGGCTGCAGCCTGATCAATGTCCTCTTCAATCTCTTCTTCATCTAGCGCTTGTTCGATAGATGGATCTAGGGCAGACAGATCATCAACTGGCTTGGTTTTCTTTGATTTGATTTTCTTCTTGAGAGCTGGAGCTGATGTGTCCATAGTCGATGATCTGGTTTTTCTTTTCTTGCCTGCATCAGCTGGTTCCCTGATTAAGCCTTGGAGAAGAGCCGAAGTCTTGGGGGCATCATAGCCGATGAATGGAGGAGATGGTCCACCTCCATTTGGAATTATTCCTGGGGCATATTCGATATCTTGCCACTATTGCTCTGGTGTGGGGGAGAAGATTCTGTTGTCTATAAAACAGAGGATTAGATTAATCAAGCGATGAATCGGCTAATAATTGTTCAAATACGATTAATAAAATAAAGACATAGCTAAGGAACAATATCTGGAAATAGGTCTATCTTGAACATTGAAGCCGGTTGATGGAAAAGATGCAGCTTCCATTCACCCCACCATCTGTCGAAGTTTCTACTCCTGAATCTTGCCAACTCTATATTTTCAATGCTGCCCAATGGAGGTCCTTGAAGATTAAGCAGCCGATTCATCATTAAGGTAGATGAGATTTTCCCTCGGCATTGGATCTTATCGGCAAAAAATAAGCCAATTGGAAGTTGGCCCATTCCAAACTGCCTAGCAGAGCTCATTGGATGATAAAATTCATATGAGACGTAAGTGTTTCTTCCTTGATAAATGCCAACAGGAAGGATACATGGGCTGATTGCAGTTGAGAAAATTTCTCTGGGTTTCTGATATCTGTCATGGTTGATGTCTTCGAATCTAAAGTCCAAAGGATTTTCCAGAAGCGTTGAATCTTCATAGAGGAACCAGACTCGAGCTTCTTTCTGGAATCCTTCATAAAAGCTGCAAAACCAATCTTTGAGCAGTTCGGCTGATAGCTTTGCTCCTGCATCGATTGGTGTGGAGGCATATTCTCCGAAGGAGGTGCATCTCCGATGAGTGCGTTCTTCTCTGTCACTGTCTTTAATCGGCTCCAGTCTTGGGAATTCAGCTTCTGTTACAAATGGCCGATTGACAAACTTCATGACTACTAAATTCAACCAGGATTGCAGTAGCCACCATGGTCCACCCGCTCCGACTACTGAGCCGACAGCTAACTTAGCCGATGCATTATTTAGCATTTGGTACAAGTAGCCGAGGAGGATTTTGCCTAAAGGGAATTGTCTCTTTGTTTCTAAGGCTTCGGCTACAGATTGCCAATTGGTTGTAGGGCCACAGCTTGATCCAAAGAAGAAGAATTTCTCTAGCCACATCAGCAAGAAAGCCACATGTTCTCGGGGGGTGACCGGACCCTGGCCCATGTATGCTGCAATATAGCCCGACCAGCCGCCTATGCTCTTAGTCTTGAAGTCATATTGGTTTTTTGTGTTCAGGCTCATAGGGTTAGCCGATGAGGTGATATCTAGACCTGTGATCATGATGATATCTATGAGAGTTGGGGTCATCGGCCCTTGGTTGAATAGGAAGGCGTTGATGGTGTTGAACCAGAAATAAGTGGCAGCTGCCATTAGGGGTTCGTCCTTAGCTGAGTTGGCTATGGTAAGGTCGAGTGCTTGGCCGATTCCAATTTCATCCCAATGAACTCTTTTACTGGCCGATAAGCGTTTGAACCATGTGATCCAGCTCTTCTCGGGTGAGGTTTTCTCTAGAGATGGCCAAGATTTAAAGGTATTCTTTCAGTGACCTAGATCTGGGTTGGCCAATCTGAAAGGAATCCTATTGGTTTCGCCATTGATGAATTCAGTAGGATCAAGACTACCGATTGGACCAAGAAAATAGTGGTTCTCGTGTGACAGACTTGGAATTGCAACCAGATTGGACAGATGCTACAGATGCAAGTAGGGATAGAGAAGAAGAATACAGGATAAGGCGAGAGAAAATCAATCTACTGTGAAAGAAAGAGATCTAGCCGATGGGTACTTACCTTTGCATACTCAGCCGATGGTGCGGAGGACGGATTGGCGGAGGTTGACATCGCCGAGGGCGGAAATCTGGTCGGGGATGAAGTCACCTGGGGATCGCCTTATGCGTCGGAGGAATCGCCGGAGAGAGAGAGCATAAAGTTTCGCTTGAGCGGTGAAGGCGGAAATAACGGTGTGAGATTTCTCAAGGACAACAGTTAGTATTTAAAGAGTTGGAGTAACGGTTAGAAAACGGCGGAGTGCGAAACTTACTCGGAGTTGATACGCGGCAAATCCGGAACATTACCAAATCTCCCGAACTTGGGGGGCTTGTGTTAATGACCAAATTTGGTAATATCAGCATCGGAGAAGGAGATTAGATCGAAGTGGAATCGAAGATAAGGGCTGTCGCGAAAACAGAGTAAGAATCGGCTAGAGTCTGGATTGGCTACGGTCAGGATTGGCAGAGTTCGAGTCAGACAGGGCTAGCCGATACAGCCGATTCCAAGAATACGACTCGGTGTACATTATCGGGTTGAGTTGATATGCTTCAAGATGATTGCCACGCATGGATAGAGTCCTGAAAATTCAATTATATCTATTAATTAGAATATTTTATGTAAATTTCTTACAGATTAATGTGGGCAAAAGTCTGTCGTAAAGACTTGTGGTATCTTAGAGTTTGTTAGAGATAATAGTCGTGTCCGGTATGGACATATCTTGTAATTCTCGGGTATAAATAGACCCCGAGCTCCATGTAATTAATCTAACACACACATTCAATACAATTTTGGCGCATCGCCACCCTTTTACTTTCGTTTTGTTTCGACGAGTTCTTGCTTTCGGGTTGAGCTGCATCGGTTTCGATCTTCAACAAGAGGTAAAACTTGTTATGGCGGCTTGTGTTCTCAGGATTAGTGCTTCCATCTCTATGATACTCTAATCTTGTTTATGTAATTCATCAAGTTATCATATATCTTGTATAATCTTCGGTAATATCGTCATCTAACCTACAATCAGCTAACATCTGTTAGTAGAAGGCAGCCGATTAGGTTAAATAGCGGTGTTAGCTTGGATTGTACAAGATACTTACCACTCTATGAAACATCCAGTGGCTTGATTGTCTAGATATTGTTCTTCTTTTCATACTTAATGCTGCATCAGTTAAGTTTGATCTATCAAGTCGTGCTTAGAATATCAATCTCTAGCCTGCTTCCTGGTTGCCGATTAGTATAGCATCGGAGTTTCAGCCGATCTTACCTGATTTAACTATAGTTATCCTATATGCTTGATTGACATGTTAAATCTGCCCTTTATGTTAAGATCTTGTTGCATTTAAGTATATTATGCTTCTGTCTGATATATTCTATTTGCTTTAATATCTTAATATAGAGTGGTATCGGAGTATTAGCCGATATATGCTAGATCTATCTAATCGGCTACGCTATTAACGTATATAGTTTTGTTGTTGATTTATATTTCGATCTAAGTGATTTATACTGTCTCGGCATGGCGACCGATCTATCCCAATCACTTGATTTAAGTATATATCGACATAAGAATTATATATTGTTAATGTCTACAGCCAATCGAGTAGGTTTAGTTCTTCCTTAATTATTCATGACTGCTGATCGATGCACACATGACATCGGTCTAAAATAAATGATGTCATCAGTACCCAGCCGATCGGCTATCATTTATAGATTTAATTACGGTTTCTTTGTCTTCATTTTTTGTTGATTGTAGGATCAAATCGACTGGCACGCTCATATATCCGAAGGCGAGTTTTGGACCTGCACTGGAGTTAAGCAGATCTTCCAGGCCTCGTGTTTTCTGTCAACACCATATAAATTGTTGATGCGTGCATGATACATTTAAATTTTTCTGTAGATAATTAAATATCACAAATTGAAGAAGGGATATAATCATAATAACAGTAGTAGGGGTTTGACCAATTTTATTCATTTAGGGAAATGCTTCGCATAGTTTATTAATCAGGCGGTGGCGTTGAGCTTTGCGATTTCGTCATGGAATGCATCGACGTGGTGAGCTGTAACACACGCTGACATCACCCTAGCCCCTTGCTCTGTTGCCTTGAGCATGACGCAGATCGGCATAGCCTTTACCATCATCGACATGGAGAGCACCACCCTCTGCGGGTAGGTCATCACCCTCGCCGTCTTCCCGCTGCCGAAGTCAACATCTTCGAATCCGATGTTTCGCCATGATGTCAAGTAGAGCAGGCTCTCATATCCATCCAGACGATGGTCATCGGCGAGCTCCCGTAGCATCGTCATGTCGCTGCCGCCGGTCATCTTGAGCTGCTCCGGTATCCGCTCCTTGGCGCGCCGTATGATGTCTACAATGTCGTTGATGTCGGCGTTCGCCACCGCGCCGCTCTTCGCCACGGCCACGTGCATCGTGCTGCAGTTTCCGTAGTACCCGTCCTTGGCTCCGAGATACTTTCGCGCATTCACCGCGAAGAGCAGTACGGCGGGGGCCTCCGGATTTTTCATCACCGCCCGGGTACGGCACTGCCAAAGCACGGCGGCGACAGCCTCGAACACGGTGACGTCGTCGTTGGTTCGTCGTCCTCGGAATCGGATGTGGTCGATCAAGCTCGACGGGACGGTGATGTTGTTGAAGGTGTGGTCGATGGATGCCTTGTGGCTGGAGCTGGACATAAACTGATAAACGGCCATGGCGAAGGGAGGTATGGCCTGGGTGGCGTTGTTGTCGTCGTCTAACCTGACCGGGACGACGGACGGCGATGGCAGGCCACGGGTGAGCTCGCCGACGGCTTGTATGAACTGTGCCATGCCGAAGCCGTCAGCCAGGCCATGGTTCCATGTCACCCCGACTACGAAGCCTCCACAGGAGAGTGTGGTGACCTGCATCCACAGCAGACGGTGATGAAGGTCGTCGGGCGTGCAGTTGAAGGCGAGCTGCTGCACCACCGCCGTCTCGGCGTCGGGAGGCTGGTCGTCGACGCAACACATGAGCTCCTCCATGGTGCAGTTGGCGGACGCCGCCACGAACGTGACTCCGAGCTCCTCGCCGGTGCAGTCGATGTAGAAATCGCCGTCGTCGTCGCAGGAAAGGCGGCCGGCGATAGGATAGTAGGGGACGAGCGCTTGAGCGAGACCTCTCTTGATGGTCTCCGCCGTGCACTCTGATTGGATGGTGGGATGGTCGAACGCAAGTAGCACTGTGGTTGGCATCATGGAACTAGGCTTGTCCATAGGCGACAGAACGATCTTGCTGCCGGAGGTAGTCTTCACCGGCGGCTGCGATGGCCGGACGACCACCGGCGCCGACTTGCTCACCACAATGCTCATACTTTCTCTATGTCTAGGCTCTAGCTCGCTCTGAGAATAAGTTAGGACAAGCAATTACAGATCATGTATACAACCATACAATCCTTAAACAAAAGCATCATAGCACTGGTTACCTCTATGGAATTGACGAGACAAAAGTGATCGAAGCAATGTCAAGACTGATGAGCTATGAGCCCTTTTAAGGTCTTCATATCCATCCTAACCGTTAACATACAATTATTTCTTAATTTAAAATATGTTTGCATATCTGTCAATCAATAAATGAATGGCTTTAATGGAAAAGAGTAATACACGTAAGAGCAAGTTTAATAGTAGAGCTAAATACTAGCTATAAGCTCATCTGAAAATAATATTAGTCAACTTGTAAAATGGCTTAGCTATAAGGTTTTCTTTATTTTTATCATAGTCCTTTCTTTTCTTCTCACTTATCTAGTATAGGTAGAGGTAACTCTTACATAAGAGTTAGTACCTATTATCTCTCTCCTCCACATATGCACGCCACGAGCCAAAGAAGACTGTCACCGGTTCACCGAGAGATGGATATCCATATATAAGTACATGTGACACAGAATGAGTTTGACGATATACACATAGGGTAGGGGGCATATCGATTTTGTTAGAAGATAATGGATGACAAATTTAGAATGTCATTCTAAGTGGGTAGCTGAGTTAACATAGGTCAAATAAGATAGTGTTAGAAATAATCTTGTTATTAGTGCATAATCATGTTTGCTTAATTTGGTCGCATGTAGCAAATAAATGTATAGGTAGCAGGATAGGATAAGGTACCCGAAGAAGCTATAGTAGTAGTACGCGAGATCCGTATACGAGTAGGCCCAAGAGCCGTGCGAGACGGCCGGGTATGTGAGATGCTGCAGGAGCACACAAATAGTGGCTGGTTAGTAGAGTCATTAGCATAATAGCCGGGCCATTAGGATCTTAGTTAATTACTAGGTGTGCATATGGATGATCTAGTCGTGTGGCTAAGAGTAGCATGCGGCTGCTAGTGGCGCACGTTTTGGCCTCTAACTTTGTCTATTTAAGCATGTACTTAGCATCTTTGTTAATTGAGTAAAAAAGAGAAAAACGCTGCGTTTGTGCAGCACCAAACTCCACTGTTCTTTGCCTCTAAATGTGTGTGTGTTTATCAGGAGTGTGTGCGAGTCTATCTAGCTAGGAAGTGATTCCCAACAGATAGCAAATCAGGTTGGAAGAGACGGAAGTGACTTGGAAGTATAGCTGAGGGAAAGTACGTTAGATGCTATTATATGGTGAATTGTAAACTTTTGATGCAATAAAACTAAAATCGAGAACTTTCCTTACTATAGATTCAATTTTACATTTAAGTAGAAGCAACAAGTTTCTTATAACTTCCTCTCTACAAAGTTTCTTTAGTAATCAAATAATGCATGACTAGAGACTGTCCCATCAAATATTAATTGGTAGTATGGGCTAGGAGAGTGGCCGTGCCTGCAAGGAATAAACATCATTCGTTATATATTGGTTTATGCTTGAGCTCTCTAATAAGAAAACATGCACGTTCTTCACGCAGACTTGCTATAGCTAACTTTCAAATAGTTTAATTCTTATCTACTAGCGCTCCAATATTAAATATGGTTTTATTATAGGTATACATATTAACACCATAACGGTATTACGTCCAAATTAATTAATACCCTCTCTACTGTTGATGTTAATCATCACGTACGTCGCCACACTATGAGCATATTATGTGCAACCTGCAATGGCAATCAGAGACGAGTCGTCACAAGGAAGGTGGATGCCACCAAAGGAACAAAAGCATCATAGCAATATTAACCCGCCGTGGCTGTCCGCAGAGAGAACGTGAAGCAACGTAAAGACGAATGAGCCATGAGCCCTTTTATGGTGCTATTTTATAACTCTAAGGGCTTCAAACCGATCCCAAGAGTAGGTACAATAGCAGGCTCTTAGCCAGCTGTAAATATGTTTTAATGAGATAAACGATGAGAGAGAAGAGTAGCGGGCTACAGATCTATAGCCAGCTGCAGCACAGACTCCAAGACACACTGTGTGTACGATAGGTGAGATCATATATTAATAGTATAGTAAGCAACTATTGTATAAATTGACTATTAGATTAGCTATAGATGAATTGGAGCTATTAGTGGGCTATACTATTATACTAGCTCTAAGGGCATCCACAATGTAGCATTTCAGCAGGTAATAAGCATTAAATGCCCTCTTCTTACCCGGTAGCAACCATTGTGAGACTAGTAAGTAGATGCAGCCCGGTAACACGACTACAACCGGGTAACAGGAATTAAACTATGCCCAGTTTTCCTAACAAAAGTTATAGAAAGAAGTCACGGCTAGAGACTGCCATCCATGATTTTTTCTGAAGCTGGCCCTACCTTGTTTCCCACTGATATGCTGATACATTGTAGAGTGCATGATTGCTTACTGCTGCCTGTAGCCCTGGCCCACACTACTGACACACTACTACCAAGTTGGGCAAGTAACATTGCTGTTGCCCTAACGGTTGATATGTAATTGTTTTTTGTAACTTAAAATATATTTGTGTGTGTTAATTAATGAATGGATAACTTGAATGGAAAGGAGTAAGAGGCTGACAACGAGGTCGGTGAGAGGATTTCTTGAGCACTTCGAGTGTGACAGCGAGGTCGGCGAAAAATCACGTCAGGCCCAATGCCGTAGTCAATGTGTGTATCCATCGCCGCCAGCTCGATCAGAGAGAGGAATGGTGGTGGAAGAAGATGACTAAATAAGAGTAACTTGCATGTAGGTCCCACATCAATCTTTTAATTTCGTTGATGACCTAGTTGCCATGTGGATGCCATCTACAAATACCACCATCAATATTGTCTTGTGAGTTAAATTACATGGGTTATAACAGTTTTTTTTTTGGGGCGGGGGTGTTCCAGATATCCGGTATTGCAGTTGAGGGATACGAATCAGATAGGACCTATATTTAAAGGAGTCAAATTGGCAGGATTATATATAAGGCATATCTCCTATATGTGGGTTTTTGTTGTATGTTAATACCAAACCTAATATTATACGGGAAGATGCCCTTGGAAACAGTAATAAAATTGATGATTCTGGACGGAAACTGTCTTCGCTGGGTGGAAGGCTCTAAAGTCCTATTCAAAAAACACAAGGTTCCCATGGTTAATTTTCTATTTAGGGTCTCCGAGTTCTACTTGTAGAAAAATTAAAAGTCAATCATCGGTTCTAATTGGAGGAAAATCAATTATCGATACAAATATAAAGCCCTTATGAGGATAGAGATCATTGAATTACGAGCCATAACCACCAACCACATCAGTAGACAATCCAGAGGAAACCGAAGCCCTATTTGCTGATAAGCTCTCGCTAAGTCATACTCGGCGAGTTCTAATCGACGGATTGCCTTAGCTAGTCTATTCTCCTCATTTGTAATCATTGTAGTCTTTTCCTAGATATACGTATAAACTGTGTTAGAGCTATTACTCTTTTTAGAGGGTCTGAACCAGTATAAACCCTTGTCCTTGTCTAGATACAATCTCACATATATCCTAGTATCAACGTCCTCCGTACTTTATAAATACCGTAGGTAGATAAAGCCCATAAAAAAGTGGTCTTATTTCTTTTGTTTGGCATAGCTTTGATCGGTTTGCCCATTAATTTTGCCTGGTTGAGTAGGCTATTATATGGTACTCCCTACTCCCTCGGTTTAATATAACTGTCACCATTGATCCATACTATTGTAACCGTAATTTTAAAATGGTTAGAGTCTTCGCAAAAAAATGATTAGAGCATAATGATAAAAAAATTAATACTTAAGCATGTAGTAATATTCTTGGATAATATGATATCTACATATTTATGGATTTAGAATTTCTTTCAGAAAAGACAAACGAACACAATTTAAATATGAATAGTGCTCGGTTTAATAAATATAAACAAATGGATAGAGTGGCTTTCCTATGAATTTTTTTGTTCTGGAAACACGTTACGAGCGTTCATATACACACGCACGTACTCTCCTTTATAAACGCACAAATACACATCCTAGTCCTATAGAAACCACCAACAGACTATGCCACATAGGCATATCTCAAGAGTGGTCTTGGGACCAACTAAAAAATACATAGCTAAAGGTTGATGTATTCATGGGTTTTCTCTACTGGTAATGGGATACAGGGTCTATGAGGGTCAAGATCTGAAGAGGGAGGTAGACAATGAAGAGAGCTAGAACATGGTCGCTCGCTAGAGAGAAGCGCTTGCTTGAGTTTAAACCATATGAAGATGTAAACTTTTTTGTGCTATATTCAATGAATGGGCACCGCCTCGTGCCGATTTGTTAAAAGAATAATAGATTACTTGACTGGATCGGATCTCTACACAATGTATCGATGGAAGTACAATAATAGAAACCATGTGCCTTCGTATTATTCAGTTATATGCTTTCTTCACGATTAATATTTCTTCATCTTTGTTTGTACTGCTATGGCATGTATTAAAAAACTAGAAAAGTGCCCGTGCGTTGCAACGGGATGAAAATATAATAAATTGAGGAAATATTGAGAAATATTTACATTATGTAATTAATTAAAATTCAAATTCACCATCTTCTTTATACGAAGAAACTATATGTGTGTGTGTCTCTGTAATTGCATTTTCATCCCTGCTAAATAAGAAAATCGCAATTACAGATATATATGATGTTGAAGAAAATAATTAAAAATGAATTCTAAACTGACCTGGCTATATGTTAGGTCTAGCGATGTGTTTGGTCTAACATCACTGTACTATCTAGTTTTGGAGTGGCTTGATAAAGCAGTCGTGCTTGGAACGTTGGGACTGCCATGGAAGGAAACACAGAAACACAGAAAACGTAGGTCTAGCATCACTGTACTAGCTTGTTTTGTCGTGAGACTGCCATGGAAGGACACACATGAACACACGGTCAACAGATAGACGCTGAATCAAAAACGCCCGGACGAACGATTGGAGTTGCATGTAATGTTGCGTCTTAGTTGCACATCTCCTTTGAAAAGAGATGACATCATTGAGTTCACAGATCTCAAGAACGTATTTTCATCAAGTCATTTTCATTAAATTGATCTCATTGACCTCTATTTTGAAGAGCAGCGACAACAGAAATTTTGAATGATGCATGATTCTTGTGGGGTATAGGATATATGTATGTATCGTCCTAATCCAAATTGAGAACGGGATGGACTGTCCACCTTGATTTTTGTTTAAGAGATTTATAAATCATTTTATAAATTATTTGTAGAATTTATCCTAAAGTTCAATTAATTTTCCGGTGATGTAAATGTGGGAAATAAAATTTCCCAAATAAAATATAGCTGGATTTAATTTTTATTAAATTCTCCATAATTAATTACACTATCTGAAATTCTTTCAGAATTTTCAGAGTTCAATTGTTAATTTTAATAATACAAATATCATTTCAGCATTTATTTAAATAAAAATCTAAATAAAAACCCTTCTTTTTCTCTGGGCCACTTTTAGCCCATTTCTTCTGTCAAACTGCAGTTGAGCCGGCACGCTTTCTTCCCTTCTCCTCCCCTCCGCCTCTGGCCCTTAAGCGCACCAAGCCTATCAAGCAACCACAAGTCTAATAGTCCTCGCTTCGCTCCTCTCACTGTCGCGTGGGTCCTAGTGCTACAGGTTTGTCTCCTACCTCCAGCTAGACTCCCGCAGCTTCAAGACGATGTCTAAAATCGTCTCCACCATGAAATCTGGTGGCATCCTTGGAGATAATCCAAAACTGAGATTGAGGGGTTTCGATTTTTATCTCATACTCTTTCCATTTTCTGAAGAATCAAAGCAAAACCTCATCGTATCGTGCTTGGAATCGAGGCCTATCCTAAATAAGCGAACTCTAGAATTTCTCATCTCAGAGTCCGTTTCACTAGAATTTCCCATCACGTATACGTATGATAACGACGATGGACGAAAGTAGTCGCGAAATCCTTATGTATTTTTTTGAGTAAAGTGTACGGGTGGTCTTTAAACATGTAGGGGTATGTCATCTAGGTCCCTAAACTCTCAAAATGAATATTCAAGTCCTAGAACTTATCATAGTGTGTCATCTAGGTCCCAAATCGCCACAACCCCTTCAGGATCCTACGTGGCGTTGATGTGGCATGCCACACGGACATGATATGGCTGGCATTATTTTGACTGACAAATGGGTCCCATTTAATTTTTTTTTCCTTTTTCTTTTTTCTTCTTTTTTTCCCTTTCTTCTCCTTTCTCTGTGACCCGTGCAGAAAAAAAGGAAAAAAAGAAGAATGAGAAGAAAACGAAAAAGAAAAAGAAAAGAAGAAAAAAAAAGAAAAGGACATGTCACGTCCATGTGGCATTGCCACATCAACGCCACGTAGGATCCTAGAGGGGATGTGTCAATTTGAGACCTAAATGATACACTTTGACAAGTTCTAGAACCTAGATATGTATTTTAAGAGTTTAGAGACCTATATGACACAATCCTACAAGTTTAAGCACCGCTAATGCATTTTACTCTATTGTTTAATTAGATATAGATGTAGGCTATGTGCACTTGATAGCCCAGTGGCCAGTAATAAATTTCCATATCTAAAAATTAAAGAACCATAAATGTATAGTGAAATAGTGATACAGGTAGAAGAGTCCCATATAGAATTACTTGTTCATGCATGCTCTTGCACGGTATATATATTCAAATTTTTATTGTAGATAAATCATAATTGGCATATTGAAGAAGGTATAGATAGCTCGCATATATAGTTATAATCAGGTGGTGGCTTTGAGCTTGGCTATTTCTTGATAGAAGGCATCGGCGTGGTCAGCCGTAACACAGTCTGACATGACCCTGACCCCTTCCTCTGTGGCCTTGAGCATGAAGCAGATGGGCGCAATCCTGGGCATCATGGACAGCATCCTCGGCGGGTAGGTCATCACCCTCGCCGTCTTCCCGCTGCCGAAATCGACGTCCTCGAACCCGATGTTTCGCCAGGATGTCAAGTAGAGCAGGCTCTCGTATCCATTCACCTGCTTCTCCCCTACCATCGTCCGTAGCATCATCTCGCCGTCGTCTGCCTTCAGCTGCTCCGGTATCTGCTCCTTGGCGCGGCGTATGATGCCGACCAACTTCATGATGTCGCCGTTGGCCACCGTGCCGGACTTGGACACGGCCATGTGCATGGCGGTGCAGCATCCGTAGTAGCCGTCCTTGGCGCCGAGGTACTTGCGTGCGTTCACCGCGAAGAGCAGCACGGCGGGGGCCTCAGGATCCGTCATCACCACCCGTGTACGGCACTGCCAGAGCACGGCGGCGACCGCCTCGAACACGGTGGCACGACGACGAGCTCCGACGATGATGTGGTTGATAAGGCTAGATGAGACGGTGACGTTGCGTACGTCGAGGTTTGATACTGGCTTGAGGCCGGATATGAAGCGATGAACGGCCATGGTGAAGGGAGGTACGGCTTGGGTTGCGATCTTGTCGTCCAACCTGACCGGGACGACGGACGGCGATGGCAGGCCACGGGCGAGCTCGCCGACGGCTTGTATGAACTGTGCTATGCCGGGACCGTCAGCCACGCCATGGCTCCATGTCACCCCGACGACGAAGCCTCCACAGTTGAGAGTGGTGACCTGCACCCACAGCAGACGGTGATGAAGGTCGTCGGGCGTGCAGTTGAAGGCGAGCTGCTGCACCACCGCTGTCTCGTCGTCGGGAGCCTGGTCGTCGACGAGACACATGAGCTCCTCCATGGTGCAGTTGGCGGACGCGGCCACGAACGTGACCCCGAGATCCTCGCCGGTGCAGTCGATGTAGAAATGGCCGCCGTCGTCATTGTCGCAGGAAATGCGGCCGGCGATAGGATAGTAGTGGACGAGTGATTGAGCGAGAGCCGTCTTGATGGTCTCCGCGGTGGCGTCATGGATGGGGTGGTCGAACGCAAGTAGCACGGTCACTGGTATCGTGGCAACAGGCTTGTCCAAAGTTGACAGAAGGATCTTGTCGGCCGTCGATGTGGCCGGCTCCGATGGCCGGACGACCACCGGCGCTGACTTGCTCACCACAATACTCATTCTAAATTAATATCCGTCTGGGTGTTCTACCATTGATAAGTTAGGATCACGTAAGCATATAATTAATACAGTAGTCATACAGATCTAGTACTATAGAGATTACAACCATATAATATAACGGATTTGCTATAAACACACATACATACATACCTGCTGGCTGCTGGCTGCTGGCTGCTGGCCTCCTCCGTGACTTTTCATATATACTGGTCGATATGCAGTTCCACAGTGTTATATGGTTGGCCAATAGATATCATTGGTCGTTCCTAGTCTTCGTCGAATTAATTATTTATTTAATTAGGGCAAGCTTTGGTATTTCGTCGCTGTCTCGCATCCCGCGTGCAGGTATATTATATATTTCCTCCATCCAGAAATCTAAAATTGTTTGATATGTTTCAAACTCTAAATCTTATTGGTAATCACTATGTGCTAAATTAAATTATTGATCGGAAAAAAGAAGTCATTTTAGTACTTATGGATTGCACGCTCATAAGTTTTTTCATATGGTGGATGAGTTAATTACTTCCTAATCTTGGTAATAAAATAAATAGGTGTTAGACTTTTGAATAGAGAGAGTATTGTTACTATTCTGTCCAAAAATAACAAGTCAGGTTTGTAGTTAGGATTGAAGTAGTTAGGATTGAATTTTTTATAGTACGGAGGGGGTATTTGCATGTAGCTCACATGCATGCACGTGCGAGGCAGGCCCGTATCTCCCGAGCTAGGACGCCAGGAATGTTTAAATCGAGCTTCGCTCATGAGCCAGGCATATCCGCGCATACGTGCAACCTCCTCGTTGGGATCAACGCCTGGACTCCATCTCACACCCTCACTTAATTATAGTCCCACTAGGATGCTCATGCTCTGTACTGGTAGTAAGAAGCAATCTAAACCGTCGATCTCATTTGATAGAAGGATTTAGATCTATTTATATTACCACTCTAGTTAGTGGCAGTATAAACTTGAAGGTGTATTATTATAAAAAAAAGTTTGAACGGGTATAATCGTTATTTAGAAGTGATTAAACTTTTTTCTTCATTTTTATCTTTTTATGGAATAGGAGCAATGCTAGCGTAACGGATGAGAGGTTAAGACCAGGGTTTTCTGTTTTGGGCATTTTACTAAGGAAAAAGGCCAATATAACTCTCTCAGATATAAGTTTAATCCTATTTATATTCCTTATCCGTAAAACCGGGCATAGTGACTTCTCTAACAGATAAAACCAGTATTGATGGTGATATTCGCACTACTAAAGAATGGGCTATTGGTGCTGGTTGGGTAACCCCCATCGGTGCCGGATTTCCCAACTGGCACCATGGAGACGACACTGATGAGAATGACTCAAAGGTGTCAGTTTAAGAACCGGCACCTTTGATGTATATGATTTGAAAAAAAAAACTAGCTCAACTCAATTTGGGCCGAGCAGATGCTTCACAGCCATAAAAAATAAATCCAAAATTAGTGTTAAAAAAAATTCAAAAATTGCTCCGCCTCCATCCCTCCGTGCGCGTCGTCGGTTGGATCTACTAGAGAAAAGCTTCTTCCAAATCTAGAAATCAAGATAATGTTAAGGGAAAGAAATGGTGCGGGTAGAAAGAGATGGATGGAAAGAGAAAGAGGATGTGCGTCGGCACATGTACTCACCGGAGGTAGAAGCAGCAGGACAACATCGCAGAAGTGGGTAGATCCGGTGGCCCACCTCCACGCTAGTGGCCACTGAGGTGAGAGGAGAGAGGGGGGGGTAGAGCTAGTCTTCACAGGCCACGACGAGGAGGTAAGGAGAGGCCGCCGCCGCCGGGCCACCGCCGTATCCCCTCCCATCGGATCTGGAGGAGGGGAGGGCACTGTTAGAGATAATGTTTAGCCATTAGTTTGTTACATGAAATATCACATGTGATATGGATTGGTTGACATAAGGTTGGGCTGTTACAACCGAACTCTGGCTGATCCGATCTCATTCTTGTAAGCCACGTTTGGGAGCTATTCCCAACTCATATAAATACAATTACGCGGCCTCGAGACGAGGTGATAATGCTTACATAATTTCTATATGGTATCAGGGCCTATCTGCCACGCCGAGGTTGCATCTATGGGCGATGGCTTCCTCCATCAGTAGTGCCACCTCCAATCCCCTCTCTAGGCAAGCGATCCTAGACAAACTTACCCACAGCAACTTCCTTACCGTGATCAGGGGCGCACGTATGGAAGGATATCTCACCGGTGCCACCAAGTCGCCGTCCCAGATGGTGATGGTTCCAACGGAGAAGGAAGGTGGCAGGGCCACCGAAACCATGAACCTGGCGTACGAAGCCTGGTTGGCTGCGGACCAGCAAATCCTCGGCTACCTCTTCTCCTCCTTGTCAAAGGAGATCCTGACGCAAGTCGTGACAATGGACACGGCGGCGCAGGCGTGGAGGGCAATCACGGAGATGGTGTCCTCCCAGTCGCGATCGCGTGCCCTCAACACACGGCTTGCGCTCTCTACGACGCGCAAAGACGACCTCAGCGTATCGAACTACATCAGCAAGATGAAAACACTCGCTGACGAGATGGCATCAGCCGGCAAGCCCCTCGTCGACGAAGAACTGATGGGCTATGTTTTGGTCGGCCTTGGTGATGACTACGAACCGGTGGTCTCCAGTTTGGTAGGCAAACACGAACCAGTTTCAATTTTTGAAGTTTACTCACAACTTCTCAGTTTCGAGTCCAGAGGGAAGCTGCGACAGATTGCAGCAAATCATGGCTATTCCTGCGCTAATAGCGCAAAGCGCGGCGGCGGTGGAAAAGGTGGCAGCATCGGCGGCTTCGCCTTCAACCATGGCGGCAGCAATGGCGCAGCTCGCGGGAACTTCAGCAACAATGGCGGTCGCGGGGATCGCGGTGGTCGCGGGCGCGGCTACAATGGAGGCGGCCGCTACAACAACTCCAAGCCGTGCCCCACGTGCTAGCTCTGTGGCAAGATAGGGCATGTTGTTGCCGACTGTTGGCACAGGTTTGATGATTCTTTTGTTCCAGATGCCAAGGTAGCAGCAGCTGCATCATATAATGTTGATCAAAACTAGTATATCGATACCGGTACAACGGATCATATTACGGGAGAGCTAGAGAAGCTGACGACCCATGAAAAATACAATGGCAAAGATCAGATCTACACGGCAAGTGGTGAAGGTATGGAAATCAAACATATAGGCCATTCTCAAATTCATACACCCACACGCAATTTATGTGTCAAAAATATACTCCATGTTCCGCATGCACACAAAAATCTTATTTCTGCTCATCGACTTGCCTTTGATAATCATGCCTTTATTGAGGTTCATTCTCATTTCTTTGCTATTAAGGATCTGGACACCAAGAATCTTCTTCTTAGAGGACCTCGCCGCAATGGGTTATATCTCCTACGACAGTCGTCGATCCCTCCATTCAAGCAAGCCCTTGGAGCCATCAAGCCTAGCTTCACCCAATGGCACAGTCGTTTACGCCATTCTTCTTTTGCAATAGTTCAAAAATTGTGAAGAATAATAGTCTCCCATGTTTAGGAGATATAAGTGAGTCAGGAGTCTGTGATGCTTGTCAGAAAGCTAAGAGTCACCGACTCCCATATCCTAAGTCAAGTGTGTCAAGTGTGCCTCTCGAACTTATTTTTTCAGATGTATGGGGACCTGCTCCTGATTCTTTTGGGGGCAGGAAGTATTATGTGAGTTTTATAAATGATTTTAGTAAATTTACTTGGATATATTTGCTAAAGAAAAAATCTGAAGTGTTTCAGAAATTCCTTGATTTTCAGCAACTTGTAGAGAGGGTCTTTGATCACAAGATAATTGCCATACAAACTGATTGGGGAGGAGAGTATGAAAAGCTACACTCTTTCTTCACCAAAATTGGTATTAGTCATCATGTTTCATGTCCTTATGCTCATCAACAAAATGGCTCCGCTGAGCATAAGCATAGACACATTGTAGAGGTTGGCCTTGCTCTTCTTGCTCATGCTTGAATGCCTCTAAAATTTTGGGATGAAGCTTTCCTAGCTGCTACATATCTCATTAATCGCACACCATCTAGAGTTATCCAATTTGCCACACCTCTAGAACGTCTGTTAAAACAGAAACATGATTAGTCTTCCTTAAGAACCTTTGGATGTGCTTGTTGGCCTAACCTTCGACCCTACAACACCCGCAAACTTCAATTTCGATCTACACAATGTGTTTTTCTTGGCTATAGTAACATTCATAAAGGGTTCAAATGTTTGGATCCATCTACCGGCAGGATCTATATCTCACGTGATGTGGTCTTTGATGAAAAAAATTTTCCCTTCTCTCAAATGCATTCCAATGCCCGGTGCAAGACTACGGTCTGAAATTCTTCTTCTTCCACCTAACTTGTTGAATCCTGATGTTGCTAGTGCGGGTGTAAATGTGAATGATCATATGTTTGATTCTCCTGAACATTCTAATGTCTCTATTGAGCATGCAGCAGAAAATTCAGACGAAAACAGTGCACAAAATAGTGAAGAAAATGAAGCGGCAGATCATCTAGAAATTGCCGCAGAAGATCCTGACGGCGCTGACTCCCAGGGCGATTCTCCCGCTCCTCCTGGTCCTGACTCCATGCTGGGATCACCGCCACAGCAGTCTGTGCAGCCTGACACAACATCTGGTGGTGATGTCGCCCATTCTAGTGGCGACATGTCGGCTGCTAGCGCCAGTCGCCGTGCGACATAGGGGGGCAATGATGGCGGCAGTCATGATGGCAGTCGCAGTAGTATAGCATCACAGCAGCAGCAGTCGTCGACAACGACATCTGATCAGCAACAGCCGTCACGTCCCCTGACATGTCTATAGAGAGGCATTAGAAAGGAGAAGGTCTACACTGATGGAACAGTCAGGTATAATTTACTTGCTGCTAGTGGTAAACCACAAAACCTAGATGAAGCTCTCTGTAATCAAAACTGGAAAAATGCTATGGATCTAGAATATAGTACTTTGCTGAATAATAGGACATGGCACTTAGTTCCACCAAGTAAGGAAAAAAATGTTATAGATTGCAAATGGGTTTATAAGATTAAACACAAGTCTGATGGAACTTTAGATCGATACAAGGCTCGTCTAGTAGCAAAGAGATTTAAACAAAGATATGGTATAGACTATGAGGACACCTTTAGTCCTGTTGTTAAGCCAGCTACAATTAGAACCATTTTATCTATTGTTGTCTCTAGAGGTTGGTCACTTCGTCAACTTGATGTTCAGAATGCTTTTCTTCATGGCTTGTTAGAGGAAGAAGTCTATATGAAACAACCTCGAGGTTATGAAGATAAGAGTAAACCCAATCATATTTGTAAGCTTGATAAGGCTTTATATGGGCTAAAGCAAGCTCCTAGGGTGTGGTATGCTAGGCTTAGCAGCAAATTATGTGATCTTGGTTTTAAAGCATCAAAAGCTGATATTTCATTGTTCTTCCAAAGTAAAGGAGGAGTTAATATGTTTGTTTTAATATATGTTGATGATATCATTGTGGCAAGCTCCACACAGAAGGCAACAGATGCTTTGTTAAGTGATTTGAAGAAGGATTTTGCCCTTAAGGATTTGGGAGATTTGCATTACTTTCTTGGCATTGAAAAGGTTAGTGATGGTATGTTATTGACACAAGAAAAGTATGCTTCAGATCTGTTGAAAAGGGCAGGAATGATTGCTTGTAAACCTGTTTCTACTCCTCACTCTACTATAGAGAAACTCTCAGCTTATAATGGTTCTGAATTAGGAATAAATGATGCAACAAAGTACAGAAGTATAGTTGGAGCTCTTCAGTATTTGACCTTGACCAGGCCAGATTTACCTTTTGCAGTCAATAAGGTTTGTCCGTTTTTGCATTGTCCAACAGTGCAACACACGATGGCAGTAAAGAGGATTTTAAGATATGTGACGTCTATTGTTAATCTTGGGTTAAGAATTAACATGTCTTCTTCTTCTCTTGTAAGTGCTTTTTCAGATGAAGATTGGGCTGGATCTGTTGATGATAGGAGGTCTACTGGAGGCTTTGTTGTTTACTTGGGATCAAATCTGGTATCCTGGAGTGCTACAAAGCAAGCTACAGTCTCCAGGTCCAGTACAGAAGCAGAATATAAAGCTGTTGCTAATGCAACGGCAGAGGTAATGTGGATATAGACTTTGTTGAAGGAAATTGGTATTGATTCACCTCCATGTGCAAGATTATGGTGTGATAATATGGGAGCTACATACTTGTTAGTAAATCCTGTGTTTCATGCTCGTACTAAGCATATAGAGGTAGATTATCATTTTGTCAGAGAAAGAGTTGCAAGTAAGCAATTAGAGATCAGGTTTATCTCCTTAGGGGATCAAGAGGTAGATGGCTTTACTAAATCTCTTCCTGTGCAACAGTTTCAGAATTTCAGGTTCAATATTAACTTGGATAAGTTATGATTGAGGGGGGGCTGTTAGAGATAATGTTTAGCCATTAGTTTGTTACATGAAATAACACATGTGATATGGATTGGTTGAGATAAGGTTTGGGTTGTTACAACCGAACTCTGGCTGATCCGATCTCATTCTTGTAAGCCACGTTGGGGCCTCGAGATGAGGTGATAACGCTTCCATAATTTCTATAGGCACCACCGCTGCCCCTGGGCCACCGCCGCCTCCCTTCCTGCCGGATCTGGCGGAGGAGAGGGGCCATTGCTCCCGCCGCCTCCCGATATTGAGAGAGCGATAGAGTTGAGAGAGAGAGAGAGAGAGAGAGGAGTATGTGGTGGAGGGGCGCGCGGTGGGTGAGGGGATAAGGGTGGGGGCATGTGGGGCCCTCTATGTCTCAATTTGACTCGGCTCGTTTATAGATGCCAATTTTTAAAAAAACCGACACATTTAGCATATTATAGATGTCGGTTTTTAATTATCCAACACATAAAATATATTAAAGGTGCCGTGTTTTAATAAAAACTGGCATCTATATTATAGGTGTAGGTTTTCCTTTATGATTGGCACCTATAGTTACTTAAAGGTGTTGTTTTTTGTGTCTTCAGCTCATGGAGGTGGAAAAAGATCTATAGGTGTCAGTTTTAGCACTTCTGGGACCTATAATGCCAACATTTGTTTGCCTTTTTTTTATAGTGTCGCTAACATGGTGTAAACATGATGGTCCAAACATCATAGAAATTAAATATAAAGTGAGATCTACATATCATCCTCCCCAATCTCTCCTTCCTTCTCTACCGGCTAGGCCGCTTTCTCCTAAAAAAATAAAGTGTTTTCAGCGGTGGCAGAGTGGCGGGGAGGTTGAGGAGAGGGCGGAAGCAGGGTGATGAGATGTTGGAGCCGAAGGAGCTCGAGGGAGCCGATGTGGTAGCTATGGTGAGCTGAGTAGCTTGTAAGTCTGATATAGTGAGGTCAGGTAGGCGCCGGCTTCAACCCAATGTGGCCGGCCAGGCCTCTCGCGTAAAGCAGCGACGCGACGATCGATGACCACAAAACGGTTCGGTCGCCTTGAGCAGATCCTCCTCCTCCTTCCTCCCCTCAACCTCAAGGAAGATGGGAAGTCGCCGCCATCGAGCTGCATAGCGCGAGTCAATCTTGTATGCTGCTTGGTAGTATTACAGAACACAGCAATTAAGAAGAGGGTCATCAAGTGCAAGAGGCACCCACACATGGAAGGTGGCAAGGGCATGCATGCATTTTCTAGCTGCACCCATCAGGTAC